GAAAAGACTGAACTCTCAGGAGAAAGTTATTAAGGTTAAGAGAGCAAGTAAGGAAAAATGGAGAGGGAAAATGTAATTTGTTTAAGCTGAACATAAAAAGAACAGGGGATCACTTTTGGTAGCATTTGATGAGAGAACTCCTAAATACATAGAAAATGTGGCACAATTTTTTTGAAGCATGGCAGAACATCGACTACTAATCATGACAAGCCACATATTAGGAATCCCATATGGTCAATTCCGTATGATTAGCACATTCTAAGCCTATGCTAGGAGTAGTTTTGTGGTTTGGAGGAAAATGCTCTCCTTGATTTGCTGCTTGCAAATGTAGAAAAATAACTTGAAACTCCAATTGTATAAAGCAAACCCAGGCAACATTACCATTAGGCATAACAGCCAGTATTCCAGGGAAGAGAAAGACTAAAATATGGGATACAATAAAGAATATAAATTCTAATAAAATACCTACATCTCACTAGTAAGGCTTTTATCAGAAGGATTTAAGAGGGATATGTAAATTAAGAGCATTATTATATATTCCTCAAGGACATGATAAAATAGGCGTAAGGATAGGCATTCTCTCTCATAATTGGGCTAGGGTGGCTGAAGGAAACTCAGGTGGTTAATTTAAAGAAGGCACTATACTCAAAGAATGAATATACCTCCTCCCCAGCCAGAACCAACACATCTTTGAATAGAGAAAGCTGCCCAAGTGTCTTCTTGCAGGCCAAGAAATTAATGACAAGAAATAAAGTGAAACTTGCTAAAGGCATAAAGGAAAAGAGAAAAATGTATTGCTAGTATATCAGGATCAAGAGAGGGAAAAGAAACGTATTGTTATCCATTTTTATGAAACAAGTGAACTAGAAAAAAGAACAAGTATCACACAGAGCAGAGCAGAACATTGCAGAGCCAAGCAGACGATCAGCCAGAGTGGCCAAGACATGGAATTGGACAGGTCACAGAGCTGACAGATGGAAAGAAGCAGCAGGTTAAATTAGTTTTACCTTTTTTGAAGGATGTAATTATTTTCCATTTGTCTTTTTATGCTGCTATCCAGGAAGCCCTATTCATAGGCACACAACTTTTAGATGCATGTAGAAAATTCTTAGTAAATAAACATTTCATTTTGGAGCAGGATAAAACTAGATCTTATTTTCTAAAGTTATGTCTAGAGTTATTTACTGCTTTGAACAGTGCTCAGAATGGTGAAGAGTTCTGTTTATTAAAGTTTGTAGATAACAAGTCAAAGTTGGGGCAGAATAACAGTGCATGGGAAAGAGCATGGGCTTTGAGAAGAAAGGAATAGATTGAGTTCTAAATTTTTCTACTCATAGGTTTACAAGACTGTGGAGCACATTCTTCAGCTATGGAACACAAAACAGAACAAAACCGAAAGATACAAGAGAATAATGACTGTCTCTTGTGGTTATTGTGAGGATGAAATTTCATATCATATCTGAGCTTTTTGAAAAATGAACTAGACACTGGCTGGGAATCATGAAACTAAAAAATGAGTGACAGATAGCTACTGCCTCAAGGGAGTTTATAGCAGTGAAACAAAAAGAATAGAAATAATTATGTTAAGCTCTTGGTGAGAGTTAAAAAATTAAATATTATGTAGATTACAAAAGAGAAAGGGATCATACATATTGGAGGAATGAGAAAAGGCTTCAGAGAAAGTAGAATTTGAGATAGTCTTAGAAGATGGTTGAATTTGAACAGGTAGAAATGAAAGTGCGGGTCAGCTGAGGTGGAGAGAAGAACAAAGGGACCAATGAGTGGAAAACAGAACCAATTGCTGTCCAGTCCTGGGCTGTCCTAACGATCGGTTGTGATCCATAGGGTTTTCATTGGCTGATTTTCAGAAGTAGATAGCTGAGTCATTTTTTCCTAGTCCATCCGAGTCTGGAAGCTCCCCTGAAACCTGTTCATTATCAGAGCAACACGCAAGCCTCCACTGACAGACAGGTGGTGACTGTGCATGACGTGCATTGGCCAGGAATCAAACCGGGTCTTCTGCACGAAAGGTGAGAATTCTACCATTGAACCACCAGTACTCCTGGAAAAGTCTAGGGTAGTTCAGTTTGGCTGGAGCATCAGAAAGAGAGCAGAGGGACATGCAACTGGAAAGGCTTGTTTTGCCTATATTGTGGAAGACCTTTACTGAATTTTCTTTTTTTTTAAAGCAGGGAAGTGACAAGATCAGAAGTTGTGCTTTTAATTTTGGTTAAAATACTAAACAGTTCAAGTACAATTTAATTATGTAAATATTAATTAAATGGCTACTGAGTGCCTAACAT